CATCTGAGCAACGGTGTTACGCCTCTGCTTGTAGTCTGTCTGTGTGATCTTCTAGTAGGAGTATAAACCCACTCTGAGTCCCCTAGGGGAGAAGGGCGGAATAGAAATAAAGTGTATTATTATTATTATTATTATTATTATTATTATTATTATTATTATTATATACACAACAAGATGAGTCCACAGCAAACAAGATCATTCTGCTGGCTGTTGTATTGGATCACACGTCGGACACTTCCCAAGTGTCTAGGACTGTGTGATGTATTGGCGAATAATGCCTGCAGATCTGAGTAGATTGGCCTTCTGCAGCTGATAGATAATGATGATGATTTTTTTTTTGTCGTGTCAGGAGCAAGTCGCTTCTGGTGTGAGAGAATTAGCTGTCTGCAAGGACGTTGCCCAGGGGACACCCGGATGATTTGATGTTTTTATCATCCTTGTGGGAGGCTTCTCTCATGTCCCCGCATGAGGAGCTGGAGCTGATAGAGGGAGCTCATCCGCCACTCCCCGGATTTCAATCCTGCCGGCACAGGGGTTTAACCCACTGGGCCACCGGGGGCTCCTCATGATGATGATGATTATTATTAGAGGCTCAAAGTGGCTAATAATTGCAAAAACAATACAATGTACAAATTAAAAGATAAAATATATAAACATTAAAATGGCATTAAACACAGGACTATCTATATAAATAAAAATGTAATGTCAGTTTGTGGGATTAACAGAACTCAAAAACCATTGGACGAATTGACACCAAATTTGGACAGCATACACCTAACAGCCCAATGTATGTCCTTCACTCAAAAAATTGATTTTGTCATTTGGGAGACGTAGTTGCTGGGATTTATACTGCACCTACAATCAAAGAGCATTCTAAACTCCACCAAAGCCCTCCTGACAAAGAGCCATCCAGCCACAGATATAGATAGATATATATGATTCACACACACACACATATAGTATCATAGGTTTGAAAGGGACCCCTCAAGAAGGACAATTGTATGTTCCATATTCCAGAGTAGGCAAACCAGACAATCTCCACATCAACACTGACATAGAAACAACAAGGAATACTGTTTACTCACAAGCAGGAAGGAATTACATATATTAGAAACCATTACTTTATTTTCCAGATCACCAGACTGGGCCACAGCAACACGTGGCAGGGGACAGCTGGTTAAAAATAAATACTGAAAACCATTAAAAAACCTGTTAAAATACACAAAACACTACACAGTAACCCTGGCTCGATCTTACAACATTTTCTTCATTTAACAATTAGTAAGCTATTCGTATGAATGCCTTGTATTTTTAATATTGTGAACTTCTTTTGCTTACTGCCTTTGCAGTATTGTCGGCTCATGCAGGAATTCAGGCAAATCCTGCCTTTTCGTTTTGATCTCCCTCCTTGCTAGCCCTTCCTTGTTGACATGCAGTTTTATTAGGCAGTAATGTTCAAACTACAGGTGAGCAGGAAGAACTCTGCAATGGAACAAGAAAAAGGAATATTAAAGCATCTTATGAAAGTAATGTCTGTATATGTTGTAATACAGGTATCTCTTGGTGTGTGTATAAACACACATAAACACGCACTATCTGAAAACACCCCCTTCCCACCTCCAGGCAATGATCTATTCTATTTACACATACACAACCCTTGTATATGCATATATACAAGCCCTGCTCCTGTATACAGTATACAGTATAACCCCCAAACCTATGAGGGTATGTTCCTGTACTTTATGCAGTTGAGAAACTGTGGACAACAGTGAAACCTATTGAAATGGACTTCTGTAGCTCAAATGCTATTGTGCTGGAAGTGCTTTTAAAAGCTCCTTTTATCCAATATTTTCCTATATTTTGTAGGATATGGGCGTTGTACTGTGTGCATATTTATTAATCTATCTTCACACATACTAGATGTTTGTGTGTGTGTATATATAAGTCTAGGTCCTGTTTCTGTATTCTGTGTATATGATTGTGCTGGAAATGCTTTAAAAGCCCCTTTTATCCAATATTTCCCTATATTTAGTGGGAACCAGACTCATGGAGATGGGCATTGTACTGTGTGCATATTTATTAATCTATCTTCCCACATACTAGATGTTTGTGTGTGTATATATATGTATATGTGTGTGTATGTATGTATATATATATATATATATATATATATATATATTAGTATAGTATAGGTCCTGTTTCTGTATTCTGTGTATGATTGTGCTGGAAATGTTTTAAAAAGCCCCTTTTATCCAATATTTTCCTATATTTATCCTATATTTAGTGGGAACCAGACTCATGGAGATGGGCATTGTACTGTGCGTATTTATCAATCTATCTTCACATATACTAGATGTGTGTGTGTGCATGTATAGGTCCTGTTTCTGTATACACACACTCTGATTTGTATAAACCCATACTGGGCATGTATGAATATATTAATTTATGTGTGTGTATTTATGTAAGCCGTGCTCCTGCATATATATATAAATAGAGAGAGAGAGAGAGAGAGAGTCCCATTTCAGTAGACAGATTTGTATGGGTCCTGTTTCTGTATTCTATGTATTTACACACCAATTTTTATAAACCCATACTGTAGAGGTATAAATATATGTATTTGGTACTGTTTCAGTATATGTATGTTTGCGTGTGTGTGTGTGTATATATATATATATATGGTCCCGTTTCAGTATATATACACAGATTAGTATAAACCCATACTGTATATGTATGAATATATTCATTTATGTATGTATGTATATGTACATGTATGTGTGTGTTTATATTGGCCCAGTTTCTGTATATGTACACAGATTAGTGCAAACCCATACTGTATATGTATGAATATATGCATTTATGTATGCATGTGTGTGTGTGTATATATATATATATATATATATATGTCCTGTTTCAGTATATATACACAGATGTGTATAAATCCATACTGCATATGCATG